GTTTGCCGTAACTCTATATGCCTGTTGAAGGTAGCTCACTCAGTCTAGTTTTTTTGTCCTTGAATAAAAAAGAAAATCGGCCCATCATTTCTTGAGCTTTAGTATCGATTTAGAAAATCAGGGATCGTTGAATCCATCGAACAAGTGACGCAAATGCTGTGCTGTGAGTTCGATTGTCATAATATAACGTCGACACATGATAATATTGGCGTCCTCAACCACGAACACAATTTTGATCATAGGATGAGATGATACTGATTGATTTGTCATGGAATACTTGAAGACGTATACACCTTCTGTATATATTGTTTAAACTGGATTACTAAGAACAAAGCATTGAATTTGTTTGAAGAAATCAACGATTAAAGATGTTCTAATCTCATATGCAATAATGAGGGTTCGGAAGATAGCAAACTCACACGGGCTATCCGGACAATTCCATGCAGGAGTAAGGCAACAATAACGGCACGTTTTGGGACAAATTGTTGTGGCGAGTCGCTTAATCCCTTCATCGTAGGAGCCTCCTGGTCCACTCTAAGTACGTTAGATGAGAAAATGTGCATCGCTTCAGTTACGTTAGAAAAGCTCTTTTTTTTGGAATCTCCTCATCAATCTACAAAAACATCAACCTCAACTATCTAAAACAGTTCCAACAGAAAAAAATGAATTGCAGAGAAAAGAAGGGAGCGTTTTTTTTGGTATAGCAGTCGCTCATTAGTTCATCCCTCTAAAATATTGAAAAAATCAAACTTGAGTTTACAGAAATATAGAAATAAAATGAATAATGGGATACAAAAAACGCAAACTTGCACTACATTGGAACGTCTAGCGATTCTAAGATCCCAAGTTGACAAAGTAGCGTACTTTAAAGTAGTTTTTGTCTTTACTATCCCATCCTAGCATAATCTTCTTTTATTCCTTATCTAATAACATATTTTAGCATACTTCCTAGTTAGATTACAACACGAAATCTTGTTTTTGCATTTTTTGTGACTCCATACAGGCTACTTATTAAATCTAGCCAAAGCGCCGCGAAGCGGCGCTTTGTCTATGAACAGTGTGTGTAAGTTCCCTCCATAGGCACCCTAGCCAGGACGCAGAAATCAGTTCTACTTTGACGGAGCGCAGCCTCGCCTCGCCATTTTTACGAAGAAACAAGTTGGTTTCGATAGCCTGTCTCGATTTGCAGAGAACCCAAAGGAGATCTAGTAGTTGATTATAGTCGCGATTTAACCATTTGTTGCTTTTGTTTTTACTAAAAATCATGGAGCGATTTAGGTCGAGACGGTTTGTACGAAGGAACTAACTGAAGGAAGGCTGAAGATTAAGGTATCTGAAAATGTCTAAGGCTTGAAAATAACACGGAGATTATGTTGTCGGCATTCTGCGGGACAGCATTTTTTTCTGCGAATGACCAATTGAGATTCTTCAAAGGGATTTCGAAGAGGACCATAGCTTCTGAAAAGGGCATTAAAT